TGTGATGGAACCCTGACTTAAATGCTCTGTCTACAAAATCAGGTATCTTAAGAACAAAGATAATACTGCCTCTTTGAACTTAGATTTGCTCTACCTGATCATCTCTGACAAAAAGTACAGGCATAGTTTCCAAATGTAATTTTAATACTATCAAATTTACATTCAAATACATAAAAACTTTCTAAGGAGGGAAAATATCTTTCCTCACAAAGAGGTGAACATGATCTAGTTTCAGCTGCACTGCCTGCTGCTCTCTAATCATTGCCCTTCCTAAAACAGCCTGGTGCTTGGGGTTAAAAAATAAAAGAAATCAGCACCAGCAGATGGCATAAGGGTTGTGTTGCTGGAATCCCACATAGTTGAACATGGTTCAAGTCCTGGACCCAACAGCTTGAAACTCATGCCTGGCATGCATGTGTGCTCAAAATCCCAAGAGGAGAATGGAGAAGAAGGGATTGTAGCATGGCCATCCACCTGGGGCAGGGTGGGAGGAAGTGATTTCTTACTTTCTGTCTCTCTGTCTCTCCAGCAAGTGCACACACCCTATAGCAAAAAGTCTCTTAAAAAAAAAAAAAAAAAGCAATCTACAAAAGTATGTCACCTACCTCAGTAGCTTGGCTCCAATATTCTGCATCCAAATAAGTGAAATGGTGTCTCTTTTGTGAATCCAATAATAACTGCAAAAATCTTTCTCCTCCCCTACCCCCACAAGAGTTCAACAGGGAGGCTACCTCCACATAGGATGACACAAGCATCCAGCTTCTCTCCAAAGGAAGATCCTCACTAGGACTCTGGATTGCAGAGCTTGGTAAATGGGCAAAGTACAGGGTGAAGGGTCAAACAGCTTCACCCTACCACTTACAATGTGAACTCGGACAAGGTTTTTTAAGCTCTAAGATCCTCAGTTTCCTAAGGACAATGGCATCTACCCTAAGCAGATGTTGTGACAGTTGCAGGAAAATATATGAGAAATGCTAAACCATTTCTTGGTACATTGTAGATGGGTGACAGATTGGAAGTTTTTCTTCCTCCTTCCTGAAGGCTCTTCTCTCCTGATATGATGGAGCTAGTTCACACTGGCTTAAAAGACCAGACTATTAAATTTTTGGGCCAATGAGTGGTGGAATGGTTAAGGCACTGGATTTTTCACATGGCCGACCAGTTTGAGTCCCGGACTCATGCCAGGTGTGTGTGCATGTGTGCCCAAAATCCAAAAAAAGAGAATGGAGGAGAAGGGACTGTGGAGTGGCTGTCCCTCTAGGATATGATTTCTCATTTTCTCTCTGTCTCTCCAGTGAGCATACATGACCTATAGCAAAAATTTCTTTATAAAACAAAACAAAACATATCCAGGAATTCTGGAAGCCTAAAACAATCACTATTAAAATTGAAATTACATAAAGTAATTACATTAGTATTAAAAAAATTCATATTAAAAATAAAGGTAATGGCCTGGCAAGTGGCGTGATAGTTAAGGTGCTAGATTCCCACATGACCAACTGTGGTTCAAGTCCCAGATCTGGCAACTTGAATAAATAAATAAATGTTAAAAAAAAATATTTTTAAACGATAAAGGTAATGAGTACTCAAAGCTTTTTACTTCCTAATTAATTTACTTCACTTTACTGTTACCAATGCTTTTGAGGTTATTTATAGAGCTATCTCCCCAATAATATACCACATAATGGTGGCCTACAGCACACAGCTACCTATATCGTGGTCAGTGCTATCACACACCAGTAACTTAAAAGGAGTCAGGGTAGGCGTATTACATGGAAATGGAAATTAACAAATGCTACAAATTAGTAATTCCTTTCCTTAGAGAGCGGGTTATTAAACACTTGCCAACACACTACTGATCATCATATTTCATCTTACCCCTTTCATAATTCTTCACTACAGGTTATTTACGAACTCATACACCCATGAAATTTAAAATAAACATGAAAACAAAAGCTAATATCTCTCGAGTTAATAATCTTTTCCCCTAATTCTTCCTTGACAAATTTACTAAAAATGTTCCATCTCTACTTAATTCCAGCATGTTCTTATCATCCACTCAATTTATCCACCTCACAAGTATTTAAGCAACTCCTATGAGCCAGAACTTATGATGAACTGGCAACTCATCTGTGAGTAAACAAGGACATGGTCCTGCCCTGATGGAGTTCATAATCATACTGCAGTCTAACTTATGTCCCTCCTTGAAGTCTACAATGCTCTTTTAACTCCTTTTATCTCTTCCTTTGCCCGTCTTTAAAAAATGCACAATTTCTCCTATTGTTTTTTCCTCCTGTCCTCAACAAAACATAAAGATTTTCTCCTTTTGGGACCAGTAGTTAGCGTAATGGCTATGTTGCTGGACTCCCATGCAGTCGATCACAGTTCGAGTCCCGGACCTGGTGGCTTAAATTCACGCTGGTCACATGTACGTGCATGTCCAAGATCCCGAGAGGAGAGTGGAGGAGAAGGGATTGCGGCATGGCCATCCCCACTGGGGGTGGGGGGAGGGTGATTTCTCACTTTCTATCTCTCTGTCTCTTTCTGGCAAGTGCACACACCCTATAGCAAAAATCTCTCAAAAAGAAAAAAAAAAAAACAAGAAAAGAAAAAGATTTTCTCCTTTTATTGAGACCATGTATCTCTCTTCCCCAGAAATGTCATTAACTGATGTGGTTCTATCCTTTCTTCAACCCTCAGAAAACATTTCTCCCCTAGTTTTTCCACTCAGTAACTTATGCCGCAATATGTTCACCTGGTCAAGTCAGAAACCTCAAATCCTTATTTCCTTCCTTTCCCTCACTCCCTCACCCAAACATCAGCAGCTCCTGCCAGACCTATGTCAAAAACATACTCTAAATTCACCACATCTCTTCATTTCAGTTTCTATCCCTCTCAGCCAGGACCCTTTCTTTCCTTCCTCAGCCTCCTAATCCTTTTCACCCTTTCATTCTTACACCCAACATCATACACCACAAAGAAGTCAAAGTGAACATTTAGAAAAGTGATGTAATCGCATCTCTTCACACTTAAAAACAAAAAAAAAAAAAAAAAAAAAAAAAAAAAACAAAAAAAAAAAAAAAACAAAAACAAAACATCTCCAGTGTCTTTCCATTCCACTTAGAATAAAATCCAAACTTGCTTCCATGCCAACATGGTCCTTCACTGTCTGGGCCCTGCCCTCACCACTTGCTTGTGGAGAGCAGTCAATCTCTACATGGTGACCTTTAGACACAATCAAAATATGTGCTTCAGTGAGCTTCATTTGCATGGCTATGAAGACATTTGCATTCAAAAATGCTATCTGCCTCTTGTTGTTGTTGCTGATACTGATATTGCAGAGCAGTATCACGCTAAAGAAAGCTGCATGTGTTTGTCAGATTCTGTCCCAAAATAATCAAAAATATTATATGGTGCCAGTCGTTTTTCACATCTTCAAACAATTTATATACAAAAATGATTGATTTTACATTCCATTTCCTCTTCCTCCATTTTCTGCCTTTTAAAAAAATAAACCTAAGACCGATTCCTAGTTATAGCTTTCTCCATCAAAAAAGTTGAGCCCACCCAATACTCACTTTTCTATACTTGTATTGGTGTGTTTGTTGCTACATTCATTTCTAATCCACAGCTTCCCCACTCAAAAATAATGTGTTCAGCCAAACAAGTCCTGACTCTTGCTCACTAAATTCATAAGCCAGGAACATTCTTCCCAGGCTTTTGTAGATCTCTGCAGGGCTGGCTTCTCCCTGCAACCACAAGGATTCAGAACACCTCCTCTGGCCAACCAACATGAATTCTTACAGATGAACCTATCACTCTCTTACATTTCCTGCTTCATTCACTTCTTTGCATGTAATTTGTTCATTCATTGTTAACTATTTATTGTCTATTTTTCTCTACTAGAAAAGAAAGTTAAGTAAGAGCAAGGACCTTGTCCTCCTTATTTACCAAGATATCCTTGGTGCCTAGAACATACCTACCACATGTCAGAGTTCCACAGACACTGATGAATGAATGAATGAATGAATGAATGAATGGGGCGAGACCCAAATAAATACCCAAGGCAGGAATAATTTTTAAAAGACACTAAAAGGGAGTTTTAAGAGATTACATGGAAGAAAAAGAACAGTAATCTTTGAACAGAATTTCCATATGTTACAATAATTGAGAAGCAATCAGCTGAGGTGGCTTTGGCATCCAGTTCCTACACAAGCAAACCAACACCCAACTCGGAGTAAATGGTAAAATGAAACTTAACTATTAGAAGCCACCAACTAACTTCTAGCCAGGGACTTCCAGTGGAACAATCCAAATAAGGCTAACAGTCTACTTTAACCAATCAAGTGTTTTCTTTGCTGTGTTTTTTCAATCACCCTGTAATGGCCTTTTAACACATTTTTGTTAATTTCTGACTTGCCCACGACTTGAGCTATTTTAGGGGCAACCTAATTTAGTGACTGCACCTGTACTCATCAATCTAGGCTAATTTTCATGACTAAATCAGAATATTTATAAAACAAAAAAGAAAATCCCATGTTGCAAAGGTTTTCTTTTATCCTCAAAAATATTTCTCAGAGGAAGCTTGGGCCCCTTCCTATATATATGTTGTAATAAATTCATATCAAACTCAAAAAGGAGGAAGAAGTGTGTGTGAGTCACGGGGCAGGGGGGTAGAGTGTTCTCCTCTCCCAGGAGATGGTGGGTGCCTGTCTTCTGATGCCTGAGGCTTCCCAGACACACACTTCAAACCCCTGGTTCTAAGAGGGCAGAGAGCAGGGCTCCCCTTTGTGCTCTCTAGCTAATTCTTTCTTACTCAGTCTAAGGAAGGGGAGGAAGGGAGGGAGAGGAAGAAGAGAGGAGGGAACCATGGAGTGAGGCTGGAGTGAGGTGGAGGACACTTGCTGACTCAGCACTTCACTTCTCTAGGTGTCAGGGTTACACAGGGTGATTGATGCTGGATGCTGAAAAGGTCTAGCCCAAGAAACCCAGCCCAGTACCTCATGAGGGACCACATAGCTCGCGGGGACACCAGGAATGCACTGCTCTTGGGTTCTGGTGGCAGTGGGGAGTGACACCCAGTCCAAGCTCCTTTGTGAGGAAACCGCTGCTGCTTCCCATTCTCCCGTTGCTGAGGATGGGTTGGCAGTGAAGAGGTCTGAGGGCTCCCAGGCTCCTGTGGGCTGCGCTGGTGGACCACCCCATTGCTCCTAATTGTGCACAGAAATGGGGGAAAACGTAGTTAGAATAACAAGGCTTGAAACAAGAACCAGGAGTCAAGGTCCTACCCTTCAAGTCCTACTCCCTGGAGGCAACCATTCTCAAGAGTTTAACTCTTTCATTTCTGACATTTACTGCCATATTTTAAAATAACATGATTATATTATTTCTTTATTTTAATTTGGGAACTTATCATATTGACTTCCTACTATAAAAGACTATGATTCATTCTCAGGTAGTCACAATACACACATGTGCCTGCTCACGTGCATCTGCACACACACACTCACTCCTTTACCCTTCACTCTCCAAATGTATTTCTCTCATGATATTTGGCTAAAGTGGTAATTAGAATTTACATTATTTTGATCTTATAAAATATTATTTATACCTGAGCCAGCCAATATACTCTCATTACATGTTTCCTCATGAATCCTCTGAGATATGAATCATAAACAATAGATGGGCAAAAATGAAAAAGTCTGATATTACAAAGTGATGACAAGAATATGAAACAGAGGGGATCGTATCACTCACCACTATTGCCATTTGAGAAGCCATGTCTCAGAACATAACATGATAAGGACCAGTGGATGGTGTAATGGTTACATAGCTCGGGACTCCGATATAGTTGACCATAGTTCGAGTCCTGTATCCAGAGGATTAAAACTTATGCCTGGAGCGTGCATATGTATGCCTCAAATCCCAAGAGAATGGAGGAGAAGGGAATGTGGTGAGGCCATCCCCCCGAGGGGTGATTTCTCACTTTCTGTCTCTCTCTCTCTTTCTGTCTTGCTGGTGAGCACACAAGCTCTATAGCAAAAATTTCTCTTAAAAAAAAGAAAATAACACACTCGACATGCAGCTCTCCTGCATCCCAGCAGCTCCAATCCTATGGTTACACTCCAAAAAAACCCTTACATATTTTCACAAGAACACACACACACACACACACACACACAAGTTTAAAGTATCATCATTTATCATAAAAAAAGTAACTTAATTCCCAAATCCAGGAGAATGAATAAATTATAATTAATTATTACAGAGCAGGTGAAATGGATAAATTCAGCTACCTACATCCATAGGAGCGTTCTTCCAAAGCCCAAAGTAAAATGAAAAAATGAATTAATACCATATATATAGTTTGAAAAATGTAAAAGGATACTATTTGATATTCACTGGTATATACATATGAAGTAATGCCTTTGAAAGAATCATAGAAATGAAAAGTGCCAAACTTAAGATGGTACTACTTCTAGAGAGAGAAGATGGAGACTGCGGTCAAGCAATGTTATTTTTTTTAACCTGTTGGAAATTATATACTAATTTTTTGAAAAAGAAAGTTAACTTTCTGGAGCTGATCTTTTACCAATAACATTTCCTCCTAATAGAAATTTCCCTCCATTCATGCAGCCCGATCTTGAAATTTAGGAACCACTCCATCATTTATTTTTCTTTCTTTCTTTCTCTCTCTCTCTTTCTTTCTTTCTTTCTTTCTTTCTTTCTTTCTTTCTTTCTTCCTCTCTTCCTCTCTTTCTTTCTCTCTCTCTTTCTTTCTTTTTCTTCTTCTTTTAATTTGCTCAAGGACACATACACATACCAGAGTGAGACAGAGAGAGAAAGAGTGAGCAAGTGAGAAAGCTTCCCCCCGGAGAGGGATGGCCACACTACAATCCCTTTTCCTCCATTCTCCTCTCAGAATTTTGGCACACAAACACATGCCCAGTATGTCTTTCAACTTGCCAGGTGCAGAACTCGAACAGCATAGTCGGCCATGTGCTGCCTTAACCACCATGCCACAGGTTGGTCTCATCATCTATTTCTATTACTGTCCTTTCCTGCTCCCTGACTCACAATGAAAGAGCTCAAGAACCATCTACTGCTAGGATTTATATTCTATATTAGCAGATAAAGCAGAAAGTAGACCCCAAAGAGTTTATACAAAACTCTGTGTGTGTGTGCGTGTGTATGTTTGATGTATGTGTGTCTATTATTCTGGGGACACACTTTGTGAAACTCTCAAAAGGGCCCATGACCCTCATCATGATTTGAATAATGGTCTGTCCCCTAAAGGTTCATGTTCTGGAATTTGGTCCCCAATATAATGGCATGGGGAGGTGGTAGGACCAGTGGGTGGTAGCTGGATCATAAGAGGCAACATGAATGAATTAATGCTCTCTTGTAAGGAAGACTGAGTGAGTCCTAGCTCTCATGAGAAGGGGTTAGTTCTCAGAAGAACAGGTTGTTATAAAAGGAAGATGGCAGACCCAGGTCACACTTCCTGCAAGGATCCACTGTCTTTTCTGCTTTTGTCAGCCGTATGGTGACACAGGCCAGTCTGAAGCCAGCCCTATGCCTTTGGAATAACTAGCCACCAGAATCATGAGTCAAATAAATCTCTATTTCTTTATAATCTGCCTAGTCTCGGTATTTCTGTTAGCAAAGCAATAATAGACTAAGAAGATCCCCCAACCACTCAGAATCTCTGAGCAGTGTTAACTGTCTCAGGGTGCCTTGGCAGCAGAGGTACGTAAGGCCTCCAAAGTCCCTGTCCTGTGTCCCTTCCATAGAGGCAGTGGTTCTTGAGGTAACCCTGTGGCTCTGAGCCACACAGATACAAGTCCAAATCCTGGCTCAACTCAGGCTGGGTGATGTTGGGGAGCTTTCTTTCTGTGTCTGTTTTCTTCTCTGTAAAATGAATGTAATGGTTGTAACAAATCATGTGGCCCAGTGCCTAGCACATGGTGAAACCATTTGGGGCCAACTCTCCCTATTTCAGGCTCTTGTTTTCTTCCTACCACTTTCCTCAATTGTAATCAACCTCTCATAGAATTACTTATGTAATGTCTATCTCCCCCAATATCCTGTATGCTCTTTGGTGAAGGAATCTTATCTGTCTTACTCTCAGCCAGGCACAGGCTATGCGTTGAATGGGTGGATTAAAGGATGAAGGAGAGCATGAATGCCTCCAATTACTCAGCACTGCTGGATGTGAGGGCTAAGAGTTTGTTTAAAAATAAAAAGACTTTGAGCTCTGTGACTTTTAAGCAATGTATCAGCAGTATTATTCCTTTCAGAGAACTGCTAGTAGTTTAGTATAATGAAGGTTAAGAAAGATTATTAAAGGAAGAAAAGAGCCAATTATCTCCTTTGAAAAAGCCTGTCTCAACAGTGACTAAGAGAGGAGGGAAATGAATGTACTAACAGTGGGCTGGAGAGTTCCAAGCCCAGAAGAGATATGATTCCAGTGATGACATTAGCTAGCTCTGAAGGGTGAACCAGGTAGCAAGATGATTAAGACAGCTGGATCCCACATGGCCAACTGACCAGTTCGTGTCCTGAACTTGGCTGCTTGAAAAACACATCAGGCACGTGGGTGTGCATACCCAAAATACTGAGAGGAAAATAGAGGAAAAGGTATTGTGATGTGACCATCTCCCCTAGTGGATGATTTCTCACTTGCCCTCTCTCTCTCTCTTTCTCTTTCTGCCAAGTGCATATCCCCTAACGCAAACTAAAATAAATAAATGAATGAATAAAAATTCTAAAAAATAAAATAAAATGTAAAATAACCCCACATGATAGAGAACATGTTAGAGATTTAGACCACATGATAGAGAACACATTTGCAGTCAGTTGTCTTATGATTTTGCTGTCATTGAGACGGAGCAGAGACAGAAGGAGGCAGCAACAAGGCAGCTGCAAGAAGAAAGTGGAAAGCGATAGGGGTTTACACACTGTTTTCTGAAAAGCGAAGATAGGCAACACAATTACTCCCACCGGCTGGAAGAACATGGAGGAAAGGCATGCTCATGTAAGCCAAGGGAGGTCTTCTAGCTCCCAGCTTTCTTGGCATGCACTGGGTCAAATTCCTACCTGGGCTCCTTCCTTTTACATGCCTCAGAGATGTACAGAACACCCACAGAGCACTAGACTCTATTTAAATTATCGCCGAGTATCACACTCCCAGGCAGGAAGGCGATCAGAATTGCATGCCTCATCTCAGCTTGTTGTCACTCCATAGCGCGGCTCTTAAATTCATGTCAAGGCGTACAGAAGTACAAAGAGGTAGGAATTGGGATAAAAAGGAAGGATCTTTTTTTTTTTTTTTTACAAGATACAATTCTTCACCTGACAAGGCAGAAGAATAAATCAGCCACATTCTTTAAAAATTCAAAAGTAAGAATGTAATCATTACTGAAAAATGGGGTCTGCATGTAAAATTGTTAGTAATTATGGATTTGATAGGAGGAGAAAATTATAGTATGTGATTGAACTTGTAATATGCCTGAGTTATGCTTATCATCCATAATCCACAAAACAAAACAAAAACACCTTAACATTTTAAACTGAAAATGGCCTATTAAATAGGCTTGTTCTTTGTGAGTACTCTTGCATGGTTTAGACTGGTTCTTTGTGGAATTCCAACAGGTACTGCCTCAAACTCTTAAGAGAAAGCATCATTACTCTAGCCAGCAAACAGGCTCCACATTAGCGGGGCTCTTTGATGGCTAACACTCATTCGAATGCAGTGATTCAAATCAAACTGTTAAAAAAAAACTTCCACCATTGCAACCACTGCTCCGTGGGAATTAAGATTTTTCTCAGTAGTACCCAATCGAAATAAACAAGAAATATAAACTTGCAATAATATGGATACTTGGCAATCCCAAATGCGAGACTCACAAAAACCTGAGTCTTCACTGCTATAAACAAATGAAGAGTATGAGTATATATAATGCATTTATTAAATAAATAAACCTTGTTTATTATATTACAGTCTACAGCGAGATTACATTGAACAAAAAAATTGTACTTCTTTTCTTTTTTTAAATGAATGTCTGGAAAGGATTAAGTACGTTTTCTCTGCTGGCGCACTGCTTGATATCTAAACCATAAAATGACTTACGACTTTTCTTGCTTGTGGGAGAGGGCGAAGAGGTCATACACCAAGCACACGCCGAACACGGTGATGCCCGTCTCTTTTACCAGCATCGCGCAGGTCCCCAGAAACAAACTGAGCAGCAAGAAGAAGGGAGAAGCTGTGCGAGGGAAACATTCCCCGGCACAGCAACGATCCAGGCTCCTGAAAACAAGGAGGAGATTCTTTGAATCAAAGAAGAAATGTAGATCACTAATACGGACTTTTTTTTCTCCCTCCTCATCTGCTTGCTTGCTTTCATGTTCTTTCTTTCTTTCTTTCTTTCTTTCTTTCTTTCTTTCTTTCTTTCTTTCCTTCCTTCCTTCCTTCCTTCCTTCCTTCCTTCC